AATTTATTTCTGATAGATATTCACCTCTTCACACAGAATAGATTGATTCCTACTTGCATCAGCCTTGAGCTACCTCCCACCTCAAAAACACTAGTTTAACACTAATGCATTATATTATCATCATGTGACAATAGCCTTCCATCAACAGGAGGGTGACACAATCTCACTGTGCAACAGCTCCCCCTAAGCAGTTTCCCTCAAATTAACTTCATTCTTAGATGAGACAAAAAGAAAGTGCACCAGAAGTGGGGAGGACGGGAGAGGCGAGTATCTATTGGAAAGACATTTTCAGGTAAGAGAAACATTAACTTTTGAGATGGTACCTCATATTTTTACACAGAATAACTAGAATCCCACACTGAAATGTTAGAAGGACTGGTGCAAACATTAAACCTAGAAGACTATTCTTCAGAAAGTGTCCAAAGGGAAAAACCCATCGAGTGTGACACCTAATGGCAGGGGCTCAATATAGGGGTACATTTGTGGAAGACTGCATCTTGTCTTGACCAGGGTATATTTTTCACCCAAAAGGAAAAGCAAAAGAGCCAAATGTCCTAGGGATGGATGGATGAAACTTTTGCACAGCCTACCAAATACTAGCACACAAGCAGTCGGTTAACCAAGAAGTGTAGTGTGGTTAAGACACAATCACACCATATGTCTGACCTTGACCCAGCTGGACAGACAGAGATGAGAAAACCATCCTGCTGCAGGAGGAGAGCACACTAGCTGTTTAAGGAATGACTTGCATAACACAGACAGTGCTACCACAGCTCTACTTCCCACTGTATTGTACTGTACCAAATCAGTGAAGAACTCTCTAAGATCCTCCACCACAGCAGCTAGAAACTGGTAAGTGGTAAAAGTTTCCTGTGCTCCACTTAAAGAGGGGGGGGGTAATTGGGATTGTGGAGATGTAAAGAAATGTCCAGATCCCCATTGGATGCATGCCAGAAGTCTTTTACTGGGTGACTGTGACTATTTTTAAAAACCAGCAGGTTTGAGCCAAAGAAATGGGTAGTCACTTCCCTGGTACTGGCTTTTCCATGATAGTCCAAGGAAAGTACAGTCTGGATTGGACAACTGTGTCATTTTAATACCACAAGGATACCTCTAGTGGTCTTGTGGAACACCTCATCTCAACAGAGAGCACTGGTAGAGCCAGGGTGGATGGGTTCAGTGTTTTATATTACCCTTGGCCTGATGTGGGTTTTCAGAAATAAGCATACCTTGGAAGGCAATGTCAGTTATCCCTACAAAAGGTAGAAGGTTAGACAAGGGTAATGAATAAGATGAAAATGCACATGCCCTTCTCAAATATGGTGTGTAAATTGAAGAATAGCAACTGGAGGGAGTCAAAATCCTACAGGAGACAAAACATCCAGATGATGAAGATATTAGGCAATGAACATGTGCAGTCATTCACATGCCTAACTGAAAGATCTCATCTAAGGGTTGGTAAAAGTGAGATGCAAGAGAGTGAGACAGGTGACAAATCTAAAATAACAAAATATGAAAGAGCCTGTGAGCATCAATATTCGTATGCCTGACTGAGACCTTAATGTGGTTTTACATGCTTTTACAGTGCTCCAATCAAGCCATTTGCTTCATGTCCATTTATACCACTTTCTTTGAAGACATATTTCTTTCTCCTTTTCACCTGTCATTGTCATCATGCAGGTTTGTCATTCTTTCATCATAATTATTTACTTCTCTACCCTGACGGGACATTTCTTCCTAAGACTTTTGCTACTTGGGAAGTTGATTGTTCCTTCTCTCCTATCTCCCTCCCTTCAGTTTCTCACCTCTCTGCTCATTCTGACCTGAATCATCTGCTGTGTCTGGTTTGGGCTGTTCAATGTTATTTGGCATGCAAATCTACCTTTTATGTTCCTGTATTTGTTTTCTTTTACCTTGGGACCCCCTCTCTGTCCAAGGACCTCTAGCACTTCTATTCTTACAAGATGGGTCCACTAACTCCTCTGGTTGGTGTATTCTTCCCTGAGTAGGAAGAGGGGGTTTGTAAAGAAGGAAGGATCTGAACAAAGTGTAGAGAACAGGGGAAGAAAAAATTCAGGCAGTAACAGGAAAGGCAAAATGTAGTTGATAATACCGCTTGATAACCAGCAATAGTGGAAACCAACAATCCATGGTTGAACAACCATGTGAAAAAGGCCAAAAGGTGGGCCACAGTAGGATGACCCAAAGGAAGGGAGTGGCAGATAGACCAACATTGATGGACAAAGTCAAAGGACAACTGAAATGGGATAAGAAAAAAGCTATATGGTTGGAAAGACCAGCTCTGCTGCCAATGGACTAGACAAATCCCACATATGAAGATGAAGGTACAATACTCCTGAATGAAAGAGAGATGTGCGTGGTTGGAGCAAGAGATAGCACAAATGGGGAAGAGGAAGAGGGGACACAGATGCCAAATGACATACCAGAAAAAAACCCAGTGTTCTGCTAGCCAACGAGGCACCACCAACAGGACCCAACAAGGAATGTTGCATATTAAAGCAAGAACTTAAATACAGGAGAAATCGAAAAAGAAAATAAATTAACTGCAAAATCATGCCAAGGAAGAGATTAGAAGGGTAAGCATTCTTCTCTACAGATGAAGTTGTGCCTAAAGAAAACGTTGGTGGGGAAAATAGCCAGTCAAAATCATCATCATCCTGGTCATGTTCAAATAGGGGAGAAGGGACATAAGCTAAATGGAAAGGAGGAGAAGGCCAAGTATGCTTTATGGAACCCACAACACTTTGATTAACAGCTGTCACATCCTCCACAGACAACAAGCCCCCAATAGCCACAGGTCCTGTGTTAGTAACATAGTCACTATCACAGGACAAAATGGAAATTACTGTCATATGAGAATTCATATGGTGGGAAATCATCAAATGTTTTTTTCGCTAAGTGAAATTAAAGAAACCTTGCTGCTTATGTGAAACATGAACACTAACTAAACCAGGTAAATTATAACAAAATTTAACTCAGTCATAAGCTATTGTAAATCTCAAATAACTGATTTGGAATGCATCTGTTCCAGACAGTGCCAGGAAAAAAATGAAATGCAAGTGCTCCGGAAAAGCTAATGCATAAGAAGATTGTGTTGCCATCCTATTGATAGAGGGCTATCATCGCATGATGATAAAATAATGCATTAGTGCAGTTTATGTTAAAGACATTTTTTAGTTGGGAGGTAGCTCAAAATTAGTGGCATGCAAATATATAGGCAGATGCAGGTAGAAGACAAGCTATTTATGGAGGTGAAGTACTGTCTCAAAAGCTTATATTACTTACGCTAGGTATAATTTTATTATCCAATATTTTTTGCACAGTTCAACATATTGATATTCTTTCAGAAGCAAGAAAACCAAAACAACAAAAAAAGCACTCAAAATGAGACACCTTTACATAACTACAATTGTTTTCTTACTCATAAGTTCAAAAATCCTGTAAATAAAACCCAGAACTCAAATTGCTCTTTTTGCATAACATTCAGCAAGATGAAGGTTTTAGGAGTTTCTTTAATAACAATCAGGCCTAGATTCTCCTCTTTTAAACATAAAACCAGTGATCTAATCTCTCAAAAGTCCTTTTCATAAGCCCATACTTTTAAATATTTAAGCTAATTTTCCATATTCTAATTTCAGTCACTATGACTTTCAAGATCCTTCTAAATAAGAAATCATCCTCAATTTACTCAGCTCTTCCTAGCATCTTAGTATCAGTGTTGACATCAGGATTCTAGAAATAGGGGATGTGAAGGGGTGGCAGACAGTTGAGTTTGGAGGGCTAAGTTTTATTTAATTTTAAAAGGACAATGGAAGACTCATGAAGAGTAAGTTAAATATCTGTAATTGTTGAAATGTTTTCATGAATTTTTATGTATGTTTTAGTAAGGCTGCTATAGAATAGTTATTTGACTACCTTCCCCACCCAAACTAACAAAAAAGGTGCTGCCCCAGACAATATATTTTGTAAACTGGCCTTCAATACTGCTGGCAGCAGCTCACTCTGTAAGTTAATCACCTTTTATGAAAGTTGTGTCCTCTTGTCCTATTAGTTTCAGGATATAACAGAAGGAAATCCTGTCTATCCACCCATATGATCTTGTAAACTTCAATAAGATACCTGTTATAGTTTTTTTCTCAAGAAAGCTGTAAGAAACATCTTACATTCTAAGAAACATCCTAGTGTCCTTCTTCTAAACCCTTTCCAATAAATCAATATCCTTTCTTAGATAAGGAGAACAAATCTGTACCCAGTATTCTAATATACATAATATACTATGCACTGAACAGCAGTTTTCTGGTAATTTTTAAAACAAAATAACTATTCAGTTTTGTTTTGGTCATTATATCAACACTTTACAGGAATCAGTGATTTCCTGAAAAGTAAAGGGTGGGATTAATCTTTTTATTTTTCCAAGGGTGGGTGTGCAAAGGCAGCCTTGAAGGATCAAATGGTCACTTGTTGTCTGTAGGTTATGTTATGTAATAAAAGGTAAATTGAATTGATATACAAATTATTTCTTCTCTTCCAAATACTTTGGATGATAAGCTAATAATTATTTTATTTTGGTCTAAGCTCAAAATTACTCTGCTTGAATGCAAATGTAACAGAACTAACCAGTGATTGAATTATGTCTCTTTAGATGGTGTTTTCTTGTTGCCTTTTACCTAGAGGTTGTTATATAATAACAGGATAACATATCCAAAATTGTTGCTGTTCTGATTTAAAATGTTCTTTTAATAAGTTCTTTAAAATGTTAAAAAGGAGGCCCGGTGAGGATATTTGCTGCCTCTCAACACTCTTGCTAGCACTAAAAATTAATAATTGAAGTAAACTGCTGCCATAATTAAACAATGCACATTGAGAGAGACATGTCTTAACCATAGCAAGTCACTTCTCAAACAGTTTGGTTGTATCAGTAGATAGTAAATTGTACAAAAATTAAGTTAAAAACTCTCATTGTAGCTTTATACTATTATTATTTAGTCATAAAAGTGACGTTACATTATCACGCATTTTTTTATATTCACTTATCATTATTAAACAATTCTTAATTTTTAGCGGCACATACAGCTTTAGTTTTATTTATTAAAATCTAACTTTCTTGTCTAGATACAAGAAGTAATTGTAAAATTTCATTATTAGTACATAAAACTATCCACAAAAATACAACTTTAAACCAAAAAAAATAAGTTATTTAATGTTAAAAACTTCAAACAACTGCAATTTCAAATTCAAGGTATGATGAAAAAAAAATCACCGATTTTTGCAAAGTCCAAACTAATCACATGACTATTAGTATTACTTAAATAAAAAAGTAAAACTAATTAAAATACTAATAGTAGCCTTCACGATATTTTTAAAGAGAAAATGTTTAATTTTTGGTTTTCCTCAAATTTGTCAAACTTAGAAATAAAACTAACAAGCCAGTGTATTAATATTATGCTTTTTGTATAACTGTAAAGTGTAATTATATTTCTCACCTGACTCAATGAACGGCGTATTATTTTAGCGTTTAAAACTGAATGAAAATTGAATGGTAATAATGACGAAGAGACAAAAGATAACCTAGCTTCATTTAAAAAAGAGGACGGAAATTTTGTAGTTGCTTTTTTAAAAAGGTTAACGGATGCCATTATTTATAATAAAAAAGTAACAGGCATTTACGTATATCAACACCAGAAACTTTGTTTATCATCATACCATCACTGGAAACTTTATGAAAATTATATTAATATAATCAACATTTACTTCGCCACCTAGTGAAAAATTGGATACACAACACATTCATACAATCAAGGCTGCATTAAAACGTGTCATAAAGTTCGCGTACTACAATGATCCTGCTTTAAAATAAAATTAAGGAAATAGCAGTACAGATATGGTTGGTTTGTTTAAATAAAAGTATATCAAAACATTCGGAATATCTACTTATTCTGTATTTAAAAAAATTAAAATTCAAGCTATAATGCTCGTTTACTTCAAAAGGAACTTCCCTTGCCAACCTGTCGAAGAAAATGCTTTTTTGTAACTTTTCTCCGTAATGTCTGATACTGCTATTTTGAAATCCATATTTATAATATTAATACTTATTATTAAACTTATTCTTTATATGCAATACACATTAAATCCAAGGGTCAGATATGTTTAAGTTGTACATTTGTAGTATGCAGGCCCATTTAATGTTTTCTTCTTCCTCTATTTAGTACAGTGAACTCCTAATATTCTTCAGTTTTCGTACATACAAGTGTATTTAAGTATGAAGTAGAACATAGGTTAAGGAAGTGGCTAAGTTACTTTTACATTAGTTATCCATTGTTTTATATCATTTCCCTATTGGATCGCGTGCGCTTTCTCGTGAGAAAGATTGTAATTAAGTACCTTGCTACATGACTGTCTAACTTTGTTGGAAATGATAGAATAAAAAGTATAAGCAAAGGCATGTAAACTATTGGGTCAAGGCTAGTATATATTAATACTAGTACTATTTTTCTTTGTCTGCCTCTTTCTTTCTCTATCTATTTTTCTCTCTCTCTCTCATGTGTTGGTGATTATGCTTTTTCTGTCTATGCTCCTAAGCTTCGGAACACTACCTATTGAGCTGCAATGTTCAAAATCTGTCAGGTCTTTTAAAAGTCTTTTGAAGTTGTATCTCTTTCACCTGGGTTTTGACTAATGTTGAGACTTGTCAGCAACAAGTGCTTTGAATGGCTGGCAATAGCTAGAGGAATGCTGTAGAAGAAATTTAATTATTATTATTATACCATGCCAATATCGCAATACCATACCAAGATGGTACTGATAAGCCATGTCACACATCATATTGTTTGTTACGACAGCGGAAGTCACGTGACACTGGGAGCATGCGCGCTGGAGTTTCTAAAAGGATCATGACTTATCGAGGAACTACGCGAATCTCCAAGTATTTGCCAAGCACCCCTCTTTTTTAGTATACAAGCCCGGCAAATAAAGCCAGCTATAAAAGAGATATAGATAGATTGAAGAGATAGATAATTGAGTCAAGGGAACAGTAGGCACCATAAGTAAAGTGTGTGTGAATTGCTGTGATTTATAGCGTGTGTTATAAAGGTTGTTAAGTTTAAAGTGATTGTGGAAATTCTGTGTACTAAAAAGTTGTACCAAGAAAGAATAAACTAGTTTTAATTAAGAAAGGACTTGTATCGCTGAAGTTCCTTGGTAAGAATTTATACCGGAAATTAACAAACGAGCAGATACGTAACAATATACACACACATTTCTTTTATATTTTACTATTTGTTTTTGCAGAATCTTCTCCAGTGAATCAAAGGCCGAAACTGTAAGTAGTGTTGTAAGTGATTCCAAAACAGAGCAAAGCACACTCGTGTCAAGTGATTGTTACGTATCACGGTCGTTTGTTTGACAAAACTGAAAGATCTTTGTGCTAAACTACTCCAGATTTGCAAGACAATTGTTAATGCTTCGATTTTAGGAATTAACAAGCACTTTGAAGCTACTTTTACCAATGAGGATCACGTTCTAACAGCTGCTTTGCACCCATGTTAAACTGATTTGGATTCACTGGAATGCCAGAAAAGAAACTGTAATACAAATAATAATTTAAAAACCTTCAGAGAAGATAGAAGGTAGCGATGATAAAAGTTCAACATATTGTTACGTCTCCGTTTGTTAATTAACTTTCCCTAACTTCGTTCCGACGAAACTTTAGCGACACAAGACCTTACTTAATAAAACTGGTTTATTCTTTCTGAATATAACTTTACGATACACTTGATTTCAACATTCGCGCTAAAACAAACGCTATAACGAACTTCAACAATACTCTCTGACTGCAAATCAATTACTCACTACCTACACACACATTGATGCCGTCACGTTGTGACAATCTTATATATACCAGCCTACCTTATATCTAGTAATCTCCCGACAATTCACGAAGGTTCGAGAGAAGTGGCGTGACACTAGTCACGTGACCTCGCTGACGCAACAATATGCTGATTTAAGTGATTTTTCGTCATTTTCGAACATCGAGGGAGATGATGAAGAAAACTTCCTCATGTGCTTTAAACAACAAGCAAAATCTGAAGATAATTCGTCCTAAAGTAGCAACGATCAAATAACACTGTTCCTGAGCAAAGTGGCAGCGATCAAATAACACTGTTCCTGAGCAAAGAACCATCTTTTTCAAAAGATATAGAACCAAGCTTGCCTCCTTCACCAGCTTTAAATCTCTCTTCATTTACATAAATACGTCCATTCTATCGAGTGCAATTGTAGAGCGCATTTTCTCACACAAAGAAAGACATTTTGAAGCCAAAAAGAACCGGATTGGTGGATAACAATTTCAATAAGTAGATGCTACTGAAATTAAATAACAAATTAAAACAATAATAAAATTGAACAAATAATAAGAGCCGTAATATCTTCTAATATTAAATATTTATTATTTCATATTAGCTTATTAGCTCATTATTATTATTACCCCCTTACAACGCTAGAATCCGGGTTTCGATACCTGTGGTGGTCAGAGCACAGATAACCCACTGTGTAGCTTAATTACAAACAAATTATTATTACTGTTATCATATTCACTTATTTTTTGACGTTGTGTTCACTAAGTACTATCATTGACTATATGAAAGGTTGTATGGTTGTTAGCTGCTTTTCTCTCATCATTAATAAACATGGAGAGGCTGTTCTGAGAAGTCGTGTTATGTTATTGTAGCAATAAAATTAGTTTTAAAAGTGACGGTAGCGATAACGCCGCTATATTTATAAATATGTAACGACAACAGTAGCGTCGCAATATTTTTCTTGCTGTAGCGTAGCGCGCAGAGCTATGATTACAGCGGCCCGGTAAATTTAGGACATATGCCTACGAGTTCGCTAAATGTTGCCAAATGAATCGTCTCGGCCCCGAGGTTTGCACAAAGGTAAAGCTTTTTACCCAACCACTTAGGGTTTGTTTTGTTTTGAATTTTGCGCAAAGCTACACGAGGGCTATCTGCGCTAGCTGTCCCTAATTTAGCAGTGTAAGACTAGAGGGAAGGTAGCTAGTCATCACCACCCACCGTCAACTCTTGAGCTACTCTTTTATCAACGAATAGTGGGATTGACAGTCACATTATAACGCCCCCACGGCTGAAAGGGCGAGCATGTTTGGTGGGACGGGGATTCGAACCCGCGACCATCAGATTGCGAGTCGAGCGCCCTAACCACCTGGCCATGCAGGGCCTACCACTTAGGGAGCCCGAGTATTTCGCGAAAACACTTTTACGGGTATTCCCCGTAAACGGACCTCAAATTTAGCATTAATTTACATTACAGCACGTAAACAAGTAGGCCTATTAATTGCCGTTCGTAACTTGGTTAAATAAATTAAACTTGTATTATAGCGACAATGATCATTAAACTGAAAAAGTGCAATATAGTAGTTCAAGCATTAAATGTGCATTATAGCGGCGTTGTTTCGTGGATAGTATTAAAATCTACTTTATATATACTGATTGGTTGCATAAGTTTCTTTCTCACTTTAGAGCCTTAGATGTTTTTTATTTAAATTCACTTAAGAAGACGTTAATATTTCTTTGATTACTATAATTTTGTTGCGTTCACGCATAACGTGTGGGTAATGCAATGGTTTGTATACATGTATAAGAGCTTTACAAGCAGGGTTAGAATATTACGTGCATATAAAGCCATTGGCTCACTCATTTGGCTGTTGTGATAAACTTCGAGAAAAAACGGTGTTTTGTTTTCAGACCATGCAAATGTATCAATAAACAATAACTATTATGATAAAAAAGAATGAGTACACGAATTAATGATTAGAGCTCCTTGATCATTTTGTTTTCCCCATGCAATACATATTAGATTCAACGACCAGATAAGAATGTGATATGATTCAATATTTATATTACAAATTCGCATTAATAAAAGTTTTGTTTATGCTGTTCAGATATTCGTATATTTCAATTTGAAGATTGGTATGCTTGAGATTATGCTACTCCTGCCCCTTCCCACACAGTAATTTAGCGTTAAGTCTGAAGGCTTATAACAATAAGGACAGAATTTCGATATCCGTGTTGGGCATAGCAGAGATAGCCCATTGTGTAGGTTTGCGCTTAACAACAAAAATACAAATTGCTGCTCCTATAAACAGTGTTTATTTAGAGTTTATTTTTATTTATGGAGTTTTTATTTATCGTTTTTTAATTAATTAAGTATAGTAGCTGGCGATGAAAATGTAAAACTAATAACATTTATTCTATATTGTTAGCAAACTACCATCTATCAATTATTTTTAATTATTAAAACAATATATTTACGAAAACCTTTCAAAAACAAGTTCATTTTAATGTTTAAATGACAAAAACAAAATTTCCTCAATCGATAAATAAATAATCCCTGATTTAATATGTATTATTTCAATAATCACAACCTCATGTGTTCTCATAATTTATAATATCATACAAATTCTAGACGCACCACTTCTAAAATATTTTATGAACCTGCGGTCAATGAATATGATCAAAGAATTTTACAAAATAGATATAAAAAAACGAAAAATCACGTGAAAAATATTATTATTATTTTTAAATAATTCGTTACACTTAGAAATATATGTATGTGCCTTAACGAACGTGTGGTCAGAGTTCCGATCACTCCCTGCAGGGCACCTTACATACCTTTAGAAACCACGCGCACTCCAGCCATTAGATGTCATCTAGGCGGGAGCTCTCAGCCAATCATATTTCAGAAAATACCCAAGATTCTCTCGTTACATCTGACAAAGAACGACAGCCATATTGAATTGAAAGAGAGGACGAAGGGCTAAAGTGAATTGGCTTCGGGGGTCGATAAATAATCTTTTATAATTAAAATATTATTTTTCTTAGTTTAAGGCTTTAATTAAGCCATGGGAACTCCACAACAACCAGCAATTGCAGCTGCAGAGCTTGAAGTTGGTACTGCAAATTCAACAATTCTTGCCATCCGCCGGCCTTTTGACCCCGTTGCACATGATTTAGACGCAGCGTTTCGGCTTACTAAATTCACAGAGCTAAAAGGATGAGGGTATAAAGTCCCCCAGGAGGTTCTGCTCAAACTCCTGGAGGGACTTCAACAAGATAACGATGGTGATGCTGAACAAGTCCAATATATGCATTTGGGAATCCCTCGAATTGGTAAGCTTGTATTTAATTTTTAGATGTCATTTTACAATTTACAAATTTTAATATTATTAGTTATACAGAGAACTATATTAATTTTTTATTACTAGTAGTAGTAGCTTTAGTAATATTATTACCACTAGTAACATTAATAGTATTAAAGGATATTAGTAGTACCACTACCAGTTAACCCTTGACATTACATTATAATAAGTGTAAACCAGTACCATCTCGAGCATTACCCAACTTCGGGGACTAATGAGACATATAATAGAGCCAGATATAAATAAATCTTAAAAAAAAGATTAATGCCATTGATGGTATTACTATTAGTTTGGTGGAGGGGGTAGGTCGCTATCGCCGGTTCTGGTGTGAAATGTTATCTGATAATTGGTATGCCATGTACTATATCAGTATACGGCTCTATGAGTAGATTGAGGTTATCACAAACCAATAAGCAGTTTATCATACCTAATAGTAGTGATGGTACAATTATAAGTAAAATAAAGAGTGCCTAATCAAAAGTGATTATTAAGTTGTTTTTTTTTTATAATACCTGGCAATAATTATAATTGAGTAAGTATATTAGTTCGATATGGTGGTGTCCTACGAGTATGACTGTGTAAGTTAGGATATTATTTTATTTCATAGATATGTTTTAAAAATTAAAGCAAGTAAAAGTTATGATTTGTTAAGTTCAATTGAGGTTTACTACCAGTTTAGTGAAAAACTTGCATGGCTTTAATAGTGGTTGCTTCTAATTAAATTTTTACAATTTAACTAGTCATTTGGGTGGTACAAAAGGGTTATGTGTACCAAAATGTGTACCAAATACACCAGACAGTATTTTGGGAAGGTGAATGTTATCTGTATATACATTTACACACACATTACCTTGCTTTTGGTTACCTATATGTGTATATCATTGTTATAATTCTTGGCTTAAAGGTTATTCCAGGTACGTAGTGTTAGTGAACTGAAATTAAAAGGCTACTATAGTTAAAACATAATTTATATTTTTCATTTGTTTGGATTTGTAAAGTACATTGTAGTCTTATATGTGACAAATATATATGAAATATAATTAAGTAGTATATCATAACTTAAAGAATTTTTTAACCTAGTTTCTTTGAGTAGGTAGATCCTTCTTCTGCAGGGGAATGTCGGACAGAAATGTGAAAGTTAGCTCAAAGTGATCTTCAGTGATATCATTGAATATTCGTGACAGTGACAATCCCAAAATATTTTTTGTTGTCACTTTTCCTTCTCTTTTGTCATACATTTTTTTTTAAGATGAATTGTTAATGGGTACACATAATGTCACATGTTATGGATTGTTGTTTTCAGTGTTCTATCATGTCTTATTTATTTTCCTGATAGTTCATTTAACAAAATACTATTTGAATGCTAAAGTTAAGAACCTATAATTAATATGGAAAACATAAGTGAAAATTAAAATTTATTTGAATTGTACAGTCACTCTAATTTACAGCACTTTCCCACTTAGGGATTGGCATGGATTGCAGCATTACCCCCTTGAGGCATGGTGGATTGTCATTAGTCCAGACAACTGATTTCTTATATCCTCTTGTGGAAGATCCCTACATTATGGTACATGAAAAGTTTTATATTTTATGTCTGAATAATATTTTGTTTTCTTATCAAAAACTTTTATGAAGATACAAACATAATTTTAAGTAGGTCAGATAACTGAACATTTGCAATATATATGCATGTGTGTGTGTGTGTATTGTAATAAATGTGTGGAAAATGTTTGCATAATTAATAAGGGTAGCTCGTTTAGTCATTTAAATTAATTTGAAAGTTAAAATTCTCTACTCTTTCTTATGACAGGTGGATGTTATCTTGCCAAAGTGTACAAATATATGTATTACAATAATTAAATACAATGAAAGAGTTCCATAGCTGGGATGCCACCATGAAACTATGAAAAAAGAATGAAAATACCATCACAGTACATAATAAACAAAAACAGTATAAAAATAGAACTAATGATGAAGATTAGGTGAGAAATAGAAAAAAAAAGAAAACATTGTAATAAACAAAATAGAACAATAACAGATCAGAAAAAGTAATCAATAAAAAAAATAATCAATTCAAAGGAAAAATATAAAACTCTCAACCTCAAATACAGGAAATAATAACATGATAAATACTATTGTTGCGTCATCAAGATCATGTGATTCTCACGCTCTCTACTATCTAGAATTATCCTGTACTTTGGCGAATGTTCTAATTCTTACTAGATATAGGGTAGGCGGGTATATAAAAGAGGGGAATGTAACGTGTCTGGGTAGACAGTGAGTAATTGAACTGCAGTCACAGGGTATTGTTGAAGTTAAT